TTTTGTCAGAAAAACAGAAACACTTTGCTCTTTCGTTCGGAAACCAATAAAGTGAGTATTCACACCTATATTTGTTGAGAACAAACATTGGTGAACTCGTTCTGAAATTCCAACACTACGAACAGAAATGTAACAACGTGAGTCAAGCGTTTCGTAAATTTCATTGAGTCTTCCAAACCTGCAATGAAAAATTCCATTTTCTCGGAGTATTTTAACAGACGGGATAACGGAAAGCTAGTAACTTCCGTAAAATGCATGTCTTGATGTTTTGTAGTAGTTTCAAAGCACACATATGAACGCGACGTAGTCCTTCAGTTATCTCAAAAGTATATCAACAGATTGGCTCATACTAAGAAAGTGAAATCTCTGTGTCATAATATGTATCAATCCACTATATAAAGAGCACAATCAAGATAGCTCAGTGGTTAAGGCAACAGCTTGCGGACCAGAAGGTTCGTGGTTGCAACCCAACCTCAGCGTCTCGACTGCTGCTGTCTAGGCTTGGGCAATCTGCAGTATCCCAGCCCTCGTGTCGCCTTCCGTTGGCATGACAGCTAGGCACCGAAAGGTTGCAAAAGCTGAGCGATTACGAAGATGATAATCGATAATCTTTACTAATGAACCGCCGGTAAAGAAAAAAGAACACTGGACTTTTTCTATCCGTGCTTCGCTTGATCAGGGCATACTTGAGAAGAAAATGTATTGTGGATTTGCAAGGTAGCAAAGTCATGAATTCGCGCTAATTTTATTGTTGTTTGTAAACCGCGGTGAGTCTGAGCGAGCAATTTTGGTGTTGCGTTGTTCCCCAGATTCGTATTTTTCAGTTTTACTGGCAGCAATAGGATTGCAGCAGGTAGGGAGAAGGTTCAGTTGACAAAATACCTCATTTGGGTTTTCACAGAGGATTCTGGGTATTATTGAATGAAAGGCACGTGCATCAGTTCCTCCGGAACACAACTTGATTCAAGAAACAAATATGTGCCGCTGGTTTAACAATTCAACTCTTTCATCATTGCCAATCAGGGAACAGGCTGCGATTAGCCTTAAAAAAACAATTCGCATCCTGCCCACATGATTAGAATCTTCAAACCCGAGTCTCATAGGCTTGATACTCAACAGATCCGCCACGACGACACTTGACTGCCGGCAAATAATAAAGTTTCCCGTAAAAATTCAACACACGGGTTAAATCAAGTAATCATCCAGATTAATTAATTTGTGGGTAGGGAGTGATTTTAAAATTTCAATCGAAAATGGGTCCGACAGGTGAATTCAGTGTATGCTAAGACTCACTGGACAGCCATTTCATCGCTGTTGAGAAACATCATTAGCGTGAATCCCACAAACCACTGGAGAGATTCGGACCTGCAACCTTCTGGTTAACAGTGTTTGACTATTTGGTGGGTAGCTGATCAGTGGCGTGATGAATTCTACTTGGGTATGTGACACACCAGCACCATCATGCCAGCTCCGTGATACACCCATGCGTCTGGCAGATTTCCAAGGTGCTTTTTGATCAATGGTGGTGGCAGAATTAAAGAAGCTGAGAACGCTTGGGGCTTAAAACTGCCTTATTTTTTGTACCAGTTTTAAAGACACTGCTCGCTAAAAACGGATGCTCCTTCAGTTTAGTGTGTGTGTGGGTAGATCAGCAACACTGAACGACGGCAAAGATTCTGGCGTACCTCCAAACATTGGGATTATTTCTATTTGTTGCCATCAAGAGGCGGGGAGAGGGATAATTCACCAAAGCACCCACTCCGCGTCTCATTTCACTAAATGGTTGTTGTTCTCGTCAACTTGTTCAGCTGACCAACTTGCAGCCATCATCAAGACCTGATTGAGAACCCGTGGGACGTACTGGCACATTAAATAAACGAAGGTGCAAGATGGAGCCCAAAGCGGTTATAGACGACAGTTAACAGAGTTTATAGAAAACTGAACTAAGTGGTATCTCTTGGTAGCCCGCTAATTTTTTTCGCCTTCACTCTTCCCCCTCTCATGTCCTCAACCTTGGGTGCTTCAGAATATATCCAGTTCAATTTCGGCTTTGGTTTGAGATGATACTTAGCACCTGCCAAGTATATATTTCTTATCTCGTCCGTTGACAGTAGTTATAGTGGCGAACATAGGTGGCCGAATATAAGGGTGTATGGCATTTATAGGGGAAGTTGAGTATATGCACCCAGCTTTCTTTCACACCAGCCTCACTGAACCATGAGTGGCTGAGCTTTGCTTCGAAGTAGGCCAGATATTTATGAAAGACAGTAAGAACACGATGGCTCCTTCTAACTCGTATGTCGTTTCCTAAATAAAAGGATGATGGGTACGTTCTTGAGTAAATTGCACTGGAACCACACACTAGTTACAACACTTCGGACAGCCATTTCAGCTCGCACTTCATGGTTCCGGTGTCCTCTATAACAAAAGAACTACCACAAGTATCTTCAAAAACTAACGGATCGAGATTCACTACAAGCAGTTGCAGTTGAGCATGTGATTCCACTCGAGTCTGTCAGACGTGGCACCCCGAAAAGTCGCAAACATTTTACTCACTTACATTTATTTAAACTTTGCTTAGACCAACCAGGTTTGTGGTTTCTTACAGAAGCCTTACTCCAAAATGTCACGTTCTCAACATACAACCAACTTTTTTTGCGGAACATGCTGGATTGCGTGTGGTTTCCAAGGGAATGCAACTTCAAACTGTGCGCTCAACGAAGCTTTTCAGCTCATCACCCAAAAAGCAGCACAATACTTACCAATCTGTTAAGCAGGTGAGATGGGGTTTGAATCAGGACCGCGTACAGGTCAAGCGGAAGCAGCGATGTTCTGGCACAGAAGCAACAAAGGTTTTTCTATGCCAGTGACATCGGTGCATGATCTCAATTACACGCAAGCCAACATATGAGGACACCAAACAGACTTACGATGTGAAGCTCATTCAGCGTTTAAAAATGGAAGCACAGGAATGCCTTTCAACACGGTGTATGCTGTCCAACAGACCAACCACCGCAAGCCAGTGTTACCATGCCGAATAAAAGTGGAGCATCGGGACTGCCCATCACCGCCAAAGACAGTATTGCTCGGTAAGCTGGTTACATGTTGTTTGATTCAGTAGCGAAACACGTGTCACAAATAATGTTTACGTCTTAAAATACAAGTGCTTCGTGTTCTGAAGACCGAGATTCACTCACCAGGTCTTTCAGCCGTGGTGACGAGTTTCAGTCGCAACACAGTGGTCAATTTATCCGAAACAGACCATGCTAGTTTCCTTTATTCACGTTTCGAGAAGAAAATCTTGCTTCTCCACCCATCAGTAACACATCGCGCTGTAAGAAAAAGAAACTTAATCCAACCGTGTCGAGTTCTGTGCCGTTTCTCATCCGGCCGACTCTGACGGGGCTTCACCAGTGTTTTCCATCAACAGGTAAAAATTCACCTGGTGGTGCATAAAACTTAACAGTGCGTGAATCCCATAACGATACGAACCGTTCTTAAAGTAAGCTTCGATTTTTGCACCTCTTAAACCTATATTCAGTGACATACCGGTCTAAATTGTGCATTTTTTGTTTGTTCGGTTGCAAACAGACGTCTTAGCTTTTGTTATTTCTAGTTTAATTAGGACGGATTAGGAAACACAAGGTTAAGTAGTGATTTAAGTGTGGCATGTAAACTTACGGAGCCCAACGCGCCAGTACAATAAAGGAGATAATTTGTCACACGATTACGGAGCTGTACCCATTCTGCAGAGCACGAATTCAGCCCGTATTTTCTGCTACACACAAATCTACCTAACAGATAACTATAGGTGGACAGATATCCATGGGCAGCGAATCTAGAATCGATCTTCTGAAAAGAACTGTCTTTAGGCATACTAAAAGGAGATTGTGGAATCTCGTCACTATTGCATGAATGGGGCATCAAACAGTACTTGAGCACGTCGAAGAAAAGACCTCAAGATCTTCATGAATCGTCTGTGGAATCCATAAAACTCTCATTGTTCAAAGCGATTACCATCATTGAGTAGATACAATCATATCGGGGGCGAGACGGCTCAGTGTAACCACGAATTTACTGACCGGAAGGTCCGTGTTTCGAACACGACCTCTGCCACTCGACTTCCCTGTTCTAGACTTAGACAATCTGGCACTATCCCAGCCCCCGTGCTCCTACCTGATGGCATGGCAATTAGGCACCGGAAGGTGCTACAGGTGAACGAACGAACGACTTACCACGTGTCAATTTACACACCAGAAATACTCTCAAAGCCAGTGTTAATACGCAGGAATCACAACAATGGACAACATTCCTTTTGCCCTCAATCGCACATTCACTTAAAATGAGCGATTTGGCTGTCACCCTTTTCAGGTTCAGGGCTACTGAGTATTGCCCAAACGAAAAGCTATCCAGGATGTATGACCGATTTGGAATGCCGTCCTGCAGCTGACAGCTAGTGGATGTTGAAACCAGGGTCACTCAAGCGCATGAACTGAGTTCGAATTATTTTGAACAGAACAATGTAGCAACAATCAGGCCCATCAGGAAAATCCTTCATGCAACTGAATTGAATGCTAGTCCATTTAAGAAAGTGAAGAAGGTAAAGAGAAGAATGAAGTGTAATTTGATCGACTTCCCGCGAGGAGCGCTAAAGGCTACCAATCTAGAAACAGGGAGTAACAAGGGTGTTGTGTCATAAGAACCAGTCGTTGATTTTTCGGCGCTCCTTCATACGCTTGGGTTCCGGAAGATCTGCAAAGTTCGGTAGGTCAGGCAGTTGCTCTGGCATCGGAGCAAGCATAGGCTCTGGTTTAGGTCGATCGGTCTTGTGTAGTCGAACACGATTGAAATAACCAGGTTCTGGTCGGTCTAGATTCAGATGTTCTTTGAGACAGGCATCGAAAGGATATTGGACTGACCGACATCTGACCATAAAAGGAGAGAGAATTAGGTGGAGATTTTCATGCACAAAAAAAACTTTCATTTTCTCAACAACTGTCATCAGAACCACTGGTGATGGGTGAAGGTAGGGTAGCAAGGAAGCTTCTCATTGGGACGATCACCAAAATCACTGCAACTAAAATGGGAAGTAAATATGGCATAATGAACAACACTTGAACTACCCAGTTTTGTCTCACTTTCTGGGGCATCTGAATGGTAAGATGATGAAATGCGGTGCGGATGATTAAACTAGTAAGCACTCATTACAATAAATGACATGCTCCGCTGCTGAACACTAATAAGAGCCAAGTTTGATTTTATGGTTCCACCTGTGATGCAGAGAAACCGGAATAATCGCGCCAAAATAGAAGGGAATTCTTCAAAAAACCGCGATGTGGAGGAATAACTACATATAGAAAAATTACACAAAATTCGACCTACCGGAGATATGGCCTTCCTTTGAGCTAATCAAGTATATATAGCCCCGAAATTTCAACCAATCTTTTTAGCAAAACCTGCTTCCCCCTGTTATGCAGATAACGAGTCCGCATTACCTACCTGATAACAGCTTCCGAAACCAAGTTTTCACTTCACTAGTAAAGAAGGAGAATTTCGCCGAGGCTGATGGAAGAGATGATTCAATTAGGGTCAATTTCATGTCTTCGACATGAAAGATACTATCAGAAACTAAATGAATGACGTGGCCCACAGGGAAGTGAACATCACTTAATTACACTTTATTCCCATCCTTTATTCCTCGGTGTTAAATGGCAGTCATGTATAGGAAGGGAAGGATGTCCCAGTTGAAGATTAATTATTTTTGCTATTTTAATCTTCTGAACGAATTCTTATAGTCCCGAGGAGCTTCGTACGATGCGAGTTTAAAATGTTCCACTTCTTTGATGTAGCGCTGATAGAAGTAGAAAACATTCAATAATATTAGCGATAGCATCTTTCAAAAAAAGATTCTTGTTAGGAGTGTATATCCACTTGAAAGATCAATATACTCGGGTGATAACTTCGCAGAAATCACAGGGCACTCATTTAATCGCGCCTTAATAAGTGAATGATACACAGGAGCACAAAATACAACGCCGCAAGCGCTCAACCGTAAGAAAATCAGTTTCTCTCTATATAAAGACCATCTCAGAAGAAGACCACTCTGTGTGAGATGGTTCAAGTGGTTAGAGCGCGAATCCACTGATCCGAAGGTGGGTGGTTCGAACCCGACCTCTGCATCTCGATTGGGCTTGGGCAACCTGGCAGTATCCCAGCCCTCGTGCTTCCTTCACGTAGCATAGCAGCTAGGCACAGAAAAGGTGTTACAGCTGACTGATTTTTTAAGGCTTTTTATGGGATATTTAAAGATACCTAAATTTTCCCTTAGTGAATGTATGCCATAGTGAAATCTTTGAGGCTAGCTAAGAGCACTCCTTCAAGGAAGCTCGTTTATTGATGGTGCTACTGTAAACAATCACTCGCTGACAGAAGGCCTCCGAAGATAAAATATTCGCATGAAGGAAAAGGAAGGTCGCGGAACCAAAATTACTTCCATTGCAAGAAAAGGATAAGTTGCTTACCACATTCGGAAAGCATGTCTTTTGCAGATGTCATTACATTAGGAAAACCACGACACCCTCTTACTCGGTTAACCATGCCTCGGCACGAATTCCGATGAAGAACGTGTAGCCAATGCAACGTCGAAATCCATATAACTCAGGTCATTTATGGCAAGAACTGAATGGTTTGGTACGGGAGCTGTTGATCCACACAACCCCTGTAACAATGTCTCCACAACTTTCCAAAACTTGACATAATCCTAAATGAACCTTGCGACAGAAATACATCTATTCTCGGGAAGGGTGAATGGTTTATCCTATCACCCATGGGTCCCCAGGCAACAAAACTGTGCCTTTGGTATCTCGTTGGAATTTAGCTGTTTATAACGACCAATCTGGACTAGAAGGGCTATCCCATGTCACCGAAAGGAAAAGTATTGAATCAATGATAAAGATATGAATAACTGACATCCAACGGGAAATCGGGACGCCAATAAATTCAGAAGGGATGAAATCCTGTTATCACCTAGTGGATGTAAGCTTGATAGAACGTGCCGAGGTTGAATTCCTAATATTATCCCTGATCAGTTTCTGTGAAAGGAAACAAAGTGAATATAATATGAGCGTGTAGAGAAGGTAAAACAGCTACCAATGAGCCTATGACACACGGTTTATGCTAAAACTGTCACTGGAAGCTAATCTGAGCAGTTTTTGTCTGCCGCTAGCCTAGCAACTGACCAAAGTCATCCCTCTCTTTGGTATGCACTTTGCACCCACAAAGTGTAAGGTTATGCGTGTGGACGTGCGGTCACTGAACACGCCACTTGCAATCCAGGGAGAGGTACTGGAAGTTGTGGAGCATTTTTCGTATCTTGGAAGTTGTATTAGTTCTGATTGTAGTGTGACAGATGAGGTGAATGCACGAACCTGCAAGGCTGGGGCCGAATTCGCTAACTTGAGACACCTATGGCGTCAGAATGGTTTGTCCCTGAATCTGAAGGGACGTGTGCCAAGCTACAGTACGGGCTGTTTTATTGTATGGATGTGAGACTTGGCCTATTCGAGCGGCGGAACTGAGACGTCTTCAGGAGTTCGACAATCGTTGTCTTAGAACCATAGCTCGTATGGGTTAGTGTCGGCGAATCCGTAACGAGGCAGTTAGAAAGCGTGTTTTCGGTTGTGTAACGGGTACTTCCATTGGAGAATGTGTCCAGCACCAGAAGCTGCGTTGGTTGGGACATGTGTTGCGTATGTCGAACCATCGTTTGCCGAAGAGAGTGCTGTTTTCCATGCCCAACCCAGAGTGGCGTAAACAGAGAGGTGACCAACCCTTGACGTGGCAGAGGAGTATGAGGGAGATCACGAAACGCTTGAGTGCTGTCGGTGCTCCTCGCCTTCCAGGATAGGGACCGCGTGATCCTCACTGTGCCTGGTTGGAGACACTACAAGATATGGCTGCCAACCGATGTCAGTGGCGATTTTGCTGTCAGCTTCTATCCAGATCGCCTGAATGAATGTCCAGAGGTATAGGTACTTCGGAATGATTGTGTTAAGCTAGCACTAAGTCCCTTCCCTGTCCACCTTCGCTCTTTTCTTTACAATAAGGCTTTCAAATAAATCACGGTTGTACTGCAGTGAAGCATCGGCGTTGAACACTGATGTCACACTGTCGATGTTGATGATGATGCAACTAATAGTTTCGTAATCCCAGCAGGGGTGCCTGAAGGAACTTGTAGAAGTCACTCTAATCATGAGGGTTAATTGGTTATCAGTCGCTCAATTTATAAACTGTAAACCATGTATCAAGGAAAACTTGGTTCAAGCTGTTACAGTTTCGGTCACCGGAAAATAATCGAGCGAGGGAGAGAGTCAAGCACTGAATGCGAAAGCACGATCACTTAGTTCGGATAACTGGGCCGATACGCATTGAAGGTGATAGCTTTGATGCACGTGCGCCTCTGAGTACATGATTGAGCCATGCCTGACAGTGTCATTAAGTAGTAGTGAGTTGAGCCCTGGATCCCAATCCAGGGAGACAGAAGTTGTCAAGCCGACTCAGCTTACTGTTTAGCGTTTTCATGTGATATTACCAAGTCGTGGACTGTCCACCTTTTGGTTGCTGCATCTCAGTGTAGAGCTGGGCGCAAAGTATTCTGTGAGGCAGACGATATGAAGCGTGAGTAATTCGTCTACCGCAGGAGAGTTTCTTGTTCAACGGACTATATACCGTACTACTAACCGATGTTCCCAACAGACCTGGCCGATGCTCCGGAGACACCGATGGTCGAACACTGACAAATTTCGTATGACTTTTGCACGTAAAGACGTTTTTCCATCCACAAAGCAGTATGGACTGCACCCCTACAACGTCTACTCTGCCTTGATAGACAAAATCATATCACTTCGGCGCCATAGGTGTCAGAGGCTGGCAAAAGTTGCCCTGTCCTTCCGAGTCCAGAAGTAATCTCATCTCCAGCCAATCCACTGGAATTTATAGAACTGCCAAAGCTAATAAACCTATCCACCACTTCGATTGGCTCGTCCCACCCAACCCTCTAGTAGCACTTCACACCCTGTAGGGATGAAGCACATTTCAAACCATACGATAGGCTTATTAAGTTCATTTAAAACTAGTGGTTTGTTTGGAGGATCTGGACCGAGGAGGGAAATATCGTCCGCACGTCCAGTGTCTTTGGGCGGACACCCCTGCAGCACATTCATCCGCGAAGTTTCAGAGGCAAGGAAGTATCAAAGAGAACGTAAATACCAAAAGTGGAAAAGAGATGAGGGAGGACAGCCCTGTTTTACACAACTGGATGTGAACTCGAGCGACAGCTTGCTGTATATTCGTCCCCGTCCACAGAAGTTCAGATACAAAGCCATCATAAGGGATAAAGAATCGAAAATATACAATTATATCTCGAATATCGTACCAACTGAAACATGGGACGGCCTTTATATAGCACATTCAGTTGAAGAATATCATAAACGAGAGATTCAGGTGAGTATCTCGTGAAAACCAAATTGATTTGCAAATGAGTGTATTTGTTGGAAGGGACATTCTTAATTGCCAGATAGCTGATATGGCTTCTCTGGCAGCAACAAGATCTGCAGATCGCAGAATTGTCCAATGTTCACTTTGTCTAGTCAGATGGCTTGGACAGACAGTTGTAAGGGCTGAGATCATAGGACCATTGACTCACTTTCAATAACCCCTGACCAATATTTAACAGCATAATTGAGCGTTTCCAGTAGCTTTCTAGCCAGATAAGCTACAGTGTTGAGTTAATAAAACTTGTCGGAGTTATTCTGCTTTGGTACACGTAATGTTGATAGAAACCGAAGTGATAACTGGACCCGCTTAATGGCATGATCGAGATCGAGTTGTGTACATCAGAAGAAGCGGCAATCATTGGTTGAGGTTTTTAACCGGTAGCCAGTAGCCATATTATCTAATCGGGTCCATGATTGTCTTGCGGTCGGTGGCCTCTAAGCGACTCGATGTGAGCGTCTTTGCTGGAAGTTCGTATTGGCCAGGAACAGGTGATGATCACACAACTATTACCAGCACGCCTGGCATAGACTCCAAACCTATTACCTAAATGCGCTTCTTTCGGGATTGGTCGTCCAACTTAGACATTCATAGCACTCACCAAGAGTACTATATCCGTCATTTTCGCTGACCGAAGTCGTGACGGATCTTCCCAGTATCAGAACTGCAGTCTGCCGGGCACATGCCGACACGACAAAAAACACCGTTTAACCGCAACGACCTGCATTGATATTAATTGAGCCAGACAACAGCACAGCGCAAAGACTACTATTTACTGGGATCCAGTTCGGTCAGGCGCTTACCGACTGCCACGTGAATCAGAACTCTGGCAGTTAGTAAAGTTCTATTTTTATGGGCGGTAGTTCAGACGAGGTACAATTGTGAGGAGGCTGGTATATGGGCTGACCGCAGTGCATCATTCGATTGGTGGAGGGGTATGTGGGCCGGTGAATGAAGAGCTGCAAGGGTGAATGATACGTCCCGGCTATCCAGGCCAAAAAAGAGGGTTTGGTTGAGGTGTCCCGAATCGAGTCTTTAAATCAAAGGTCTGACCAAGAAGGTAGTAGAAGCAGAAGAGAGTTGAGTTCGGGGATCCTTTCTTTAGCCTTAAAAGCTGAAACGCTAGGGTTTATTGCCAGAGCCCAATGACTCATAGTCTGACCCATTTGGTTGCGGGGAGCTGGCTTGGCCAGAGGACGCAGATAGTAGAGCAGAATTGTTCAACTTCTGATGCCGCTGTGCACAGCAAGTACCTTTTGAGTGGTACGTGACTTTTGTTTTAAGAGTATTTCGATCGTAGTGAATAATGCGCCGGCGATCACGGTCAACCGTTGGGCGATCGGAGCGTTCGGGTTTTGAGGACGACCTCCATAAGCCTTCTTTCCTTGAGGAGGGCAGCATGGCTGCTTCTAAAAATATGGGCATGCTTGGCGTCTGATGGAAACATCTTGCAGCCTACATTCGTAAGTCAGAGGACAGTTCAACTTTACCTCCATACCTCTTCGCAATATGATTTCTCGAGGAACGGGGATTCGCTGTTCTTCATTGGGCTGCTCCTCGTCAGCTCTCACGGCATGGTTGGACCCCGAGGAACTGTATTCTAGCTAGTGTAACCTACGAAGTCATTGCTGCACCAAGACCCAACCATCACAACAAGGTGTCAGTTTTAGGTCGAACGTCCGATAGGACTGGGCGACTAGATCAAACCTGGCCCAATGGGGATAGACAAGAGAAGGGATAGTCATAGACAGCTGCACTACAACTCAGAACAGCAAGCAGAATTAGATATTAGGTAATTCAGCAAGAACAAGGGAAAATATATGAATGCACCACTGTATCGTGCCCGATTGTCACCACGTGAATATAGGCCAGTCTTGAAAGTGTACTCAGGAACAGTAAGTACTGCGGTTCCAGTAATTACAACGCGACTTGCTAGCGAGAAAACTGGCAGGCGATACCACAGCTTCAACGGTTTACAGAGTACTATCTATAGAGGGTGCTAGTTGTTCCCCCGGTTATGAGTGGATATAAAGTAATTTTGTTACTCCTAAACGCAGTTCGGAATCCACCGACCATAATTGGCGGCGGTGACGTTCATAACCCACGCCAAATATCTCCGTTTTATGGGGGCGCGGTTCACAACGCGAACAACTTGATCCCTAGCCGTTCGTGTTGTGAACCGAGTGATGGCCTGAATGACCGACCCAGTGACTTCCACCGCATGGACTACATGGTCGGTGCAGCGCTTATAAGCCAGGATGGATTTTAATGAGTGAGAGCAGATCTGAGTAGAGTGTACACAATGTGCAAGGTACTCACCTTTCAAGACTGTAAGACGGGCCGCCATACTTATGAAGACATGTAAAATAACTAGTGAATTCCTCTGAGCAGTGTTTTTTCACCCGTCTGAAGAAATCTTGAGCGCAACTCGTGACAAGTTTCCCCTCTTTAAGACACGCACGGGGATCGTGGGTCTCGTAACGACATAACATGAACTCCTGTGCAGTTACCATCATATCAGAGAACATTCGCTCTTACCTTGCACTGCTCATCGCAAAACTTCCCAAGGTGTATACCAGCTGCGAGCAATGGCACTGCAGTTAGCTTAATCTCTGGTGTCTCTAACTCTTCATATGTAGGCAGCGGGATATCCAAGGACACCATATATATCCGGGGAAGGCTTCCAAGGAGCGTGACTCCAGACAAGATTCCCTTCTCAAGGTTACTTTTGAAGGTCAGGACAAGATGGAGAGGATAAACTCATAGTGACTAGCTGAGCCGGAAGATATGTCTACTCCCTTGGTAACCGAGGGTTTTGCAAAGCATCTCTCCACAACGGCACACTATCAGTCTAGATGGGTGAGACTATTCACCCCAACCTACTGCAAGACTCAATGCTCAAGCACGGATTCACGGATTGATACACAGGATCGAGGCTTTTGCCCAAGATTCCGGATCACTTTGGTACTTGTCGGTCAGTGGCTGTCGTTCACCTGAAAGGCACAAGTGAAAAAAGGGTGTAGCACTGCTCTTTATGTTCTCAGCGCGGGGCACTATGCTTGCCAGCGCGAGGGTTCGCATAAATAAATGTCTAATAGTTCTTTAAATTGGGTTCTAGAAGGAGCGTGAACAACCGTCGGAAGAAGGTCATTCCACGCAGCTACTACCCGAAATGAAAAAAATTGTCTAATGAATGTGTGTGCTCTGAGCTTGAAAATTTTCTTACTATGTCCCCGCCGTGTGTTTGCTGGTTCAACCGTAAAAAACCTGTTTGCCAAGCTTTGTTCAAACAGAGCATAATTAAGAATTAGGTCCCCTCGGAGGCGACGGTACTCCAGGGGAAACAGATCAAGCATCGCGAGACGCGTTTCGTAGTCCACGGATTTGAGGCCGGCGACCATTCTCGTGGCGGCCCGCTGGACACGCTCAATGAGGGTGCCGTCTTTCGTGCATCCTGAGTAGACAACTTGGTTGGCGTACTCCACGAGCGGTCTGACGTAGGCCCGACTGACCGTTTGGAAGTCCATGCGAGTTATACGGAAGAAGGTGCGTCGGATCATCCGTAAAATGGCGAATGCCTTTTGGGCCGACTTCTCATGGTGCAGTGAGAAGGACAAGTTTGAGGAGACCCAGATGCCAAAATGCTTTTGGACATCTATCCTCATGATGTTTTCTGGTCATTTCTCGCCATTCATAACAAAGGCATTCGCTGAGTCCCCTCCAAACGACATATGGACGCACTTTTCGTCATTCAGAAGAAGGTGCCAGTTCAACGACCACTATGTGGTAGCGGCTACATCCATTTGGAGGGCACTGGCATTGGAACTCTAGGATTTCAAGTCGTCCGCAAAGTCAGACATGGACTCGCAAGAATGACTGGGAGGTCGTTTACGTAGTTCAGAAACAGGAGTGGTCCCAAGACGGAGCCTTGAGGAACTCCAATGGAGACCGGCGCTGGAGAGGAGTAGGTCGAGCCCATTCTCACTCGGAATGATCCGTCTGATAGGAACGCCTTGATGCAGCGGAGGATTTTTCCTTGAATCCCGTAAGACTCGAGTTTGTGGAGCAGCAGGGCGTGTGGGACCCTATCAAATGCCTTTGAGAATTCGAAAAATATGGCATCTGATATGAGTCCTTCGTCCTTGGCTTGGGTTAAGCTGTCCATAAACACGAGCATGTTTGTCACGCAAGAACGGTTTGGGAGAAATCCGTGTTGAGCTGGAGATATCAGATTGCTGGAAATAAGGTGATCCAGGATAACTCGCTTCAGAATGCGTTCCCTCACCTTACATGGCACACTAGTGAGGCTTATAGGCCTATAGCTGCCAGGCGATAGTCGGTCACCAGTTTTGTATATTGGCGTGACAATCGCTTCCTTCCAAGCAGGGGGAAGGCGGCCTTCGTCAAGCGACTGACGAAACACCAAGTGTAAAGGGTTTGCCAGTGTGGAGGAGTTTCTTTCAGGATCCTCGGATGGACCTCATCGGGGT